GGAGCCCGTGCACCGACGACAAATATACTTTGATTTGAATAGGCAGCCCCATAGTTGATTACACCACCTTTCCCATACCAAATGCATTCTCCATTGCGCAAGCATCCTTTGACGGAGCCATCTGACGCGTCATAGACATAGAATGTCGCGAGTTGGGGCTCCTATAGGCGAGGTGATTGGCGAATGTGTCGCGCAGCCATGAATGCCACGCAGGCCGCGCAAGCCATGCCAGTTCTCTACGTCGTGCGTGGCAGATTTGGTCGATGTTGTGGCGGCTGGCGGCATTGGCCCAGCCCCCGAGGCGAATGTTCAGATCTGGGCAATCTTGTTTTAGAAGCGAGCCACGCGCGCCATGCAAGTCATGCGCGCAGCCATGCAGGTCATGCGCATCCATGCCGTCAGGCCCAACACCATGCAACGAGTGGCCATTGACGAACTCATGAGCTAGATCACCTGTCGGCGAACTGAAGTGATGCGCAATTGTCGCGTGATGCCGCGCCCGAGGTTGGTGCCCCTGCGGCGCAGCAGCTGCGTCGCCACGGGCACTGCTAGTGCACGCCATCGGTGCCCCACGCCGAGGGCACCGCGAGAACGTCGCCAGACGGACGCCGAGGCCCTCGTCGAGATCAGCGGCGAGCAGTACATCTCCGAAAGAGGATCTTTCCATGTCTATAAGTACATGCGAGGGGATGGAATGCCAGAGGCCACTTCAAGAACTGCACACTGTTGTTCAAACGAGCTGGTCGTTGCCGAAGAATCAGCACCTTGCGGACAAGTGCTGCAATGCATTGAATTGCCGCTGCAAGGTGGCAAATCATTGCAGCAGAGGGCATGCGCACCAGGACCCATGTTGCATGCGTCGTGCAAGGCTAGCAGGGTTTTCAGATGCCTGCTGCGGCATTAGCTGCAGAAGTACCTGTGCACGCCTGCACGTCCATGGCGAATCTGCCTCTACTTCGACGGCATCTCTCCGCGAGATCCCCTGGCCAAAGGCTAGGACTACACAGGGCCCGACGCAATCGAGCGGCCCTGAGGAGGCGTGGTTTGTTCTGTCCGCGGCCAGGGTGGCCACGGTGCGGGACATCCTAAGTGGCATTGGCCACGCGTACAGCATCCTTCTTCAGAGGTTATTTCTGGGGACCGGTTCCTGGCTTCACGCTCGACATGTCTGAGAATGGTGATGGCACGGAGGTTCACAGAAACAGGGGCCACGCAGGGACCAATCCGCGCGCCATATGCAGGAACGCGGTAAACAGTCAGGCCGATGATAGCCAGTGCGACGACATAGAATGGCACGTTCCAGGTTCGTCGCTGGACGCGAGTAAGGGGTCTCCAACGCAGACGAAGGTGTCGCTGCGATCCTTCGCAGGAGCCGGCCGCGCTGGGAGCGGCCAGGGGCGAGATATCTGCTGAACAATTCAGATTATTGGCGCAGCTGCCTGGGTGGAACTTCCACCCGCGCCACATCGCACTAGACATCGACTTGGGGCATGGTGTGATGTCGCTCTCGCGCGCCGACTGGATGCGCGGGTGCGTCGCAGCTGGCATCGTCGAGCGGGGTCGGGCGGTTCCTCGGGGCCCCCTTCCATCGCTCGCCTCGTCGACGTTGGCGACTGTCACGGCCGAAAGATGTCCAGCGCGCTGGTCGGGCTTGCGGAACAGGCGAACTCCAAGCTTGCGTACCCGAGACTTTGTCTGCCACGCCTGTTCTTGCGCTTTGCGCCTGGAAGGTGGTTGCTATAATTGCAGGTGCGGCTGCTTGCGGCGACCGCATCTCGAGCTTCGCGCCGCGTGGCGCCCTGGACTTGTTCGTCGCACTCCAGTTCGATGGGGAAGTCTCCTCTATCGAATTCTGCCGTCGCCAGGCCGCAGCACGGCCGGTCCGCGGCTGGGCTTGCCTCGCGAGACTGGGTGCCCGGGCTCGATCAGCGGCGCCAGCTCAGGAGCACCTGTCCTTCGGGCAGGTCCGTCACCGAGAAATTATCCCATTTGGTAAATGGCCGTGGCGACCGGGCGCGTGCTGGGCACGCCTGGCGCAGCCAGCGGTTCCGTTGCCGCCAGCTCCGACGGGTCCAGTCCGTAGCCCCATCTGCTCCGAGGCCCATGGGATTCCCTGACACATACGCGGGCCTTCTGACTTATACATAGATACAACAAGTTATTATTTGCGCCTGATATGTTCAACATGTGTGGTGCGTTTGAAGCCGCATCTCATTTTTTCCGGGACCCTGGGACGTTTCATGGGGGATGGTGATTGCAGATGATGGTGTTTCAAAGAGCAGCCGCGCTCCAGGAGATGCAAGCTATTGCAATGTTACTGCGAGCAGCGCAAACAAGTAAGAATCATGCGCAGTTTCTGCGACTCGGCTGGCCAACGTTCTGACGTCATCGGTTCTCCTGTCAACTGTAGGGTGCTTCAGCGAGCTGGTCGGCACGAGCACCGGCGTTTGGTCATCGTCGATGTCGCATCTATTCCATACCACGCACACCCGCCGAGTTGCCAATCGCAGAACCAGACTGGGTGGCTCGGACTGCGCCGCGGCCCCAAGGTTTCGCTGAACGTGGAACCACACTTGAACGGTGGAGTGGCCGCTACCAACTCCCATCATAACAACGTCACCTCGATTGACCGAGGTGTTGTCGTGGAAAGCATTGGCGCTGGACACTGCCGCCTGCGTCTCTGGGTGCAAGTGCTTCAGGTGAGTCGATCAATTGCTGTGATGCAGCAGTCGGCTCATGCAACACAGCTGCAAAGCATACGGGTTTCAGGTCGTAGCGGCGCTGGGCCACAAAGTACAGCATCAAGGCTTTCTCTGGGGGTCTCAGGCACATGTGGTCGTGGGAAAACCGCTCGACCAATTCGCGCATCTTTTCGTGAGCGAAGCGCGACAGCAGCCCGAACTTGAAATGCAGATCTGGCAGGCGGGTGGCCACGCGGAACTTGCGCGCCCAGAGTTTGGTGTCATAGCGCGCTTCGTGCAGCGGGCCCGCTGCGCGGGAACGGAGGCAGATGCCGGCGCCCGCGGCGCCCTGGCTGCGCAAGCCCGCCTCTGGGCTGTCCGCAAGCCCGCAAGCGCGCCCTGGGCTGTGTTCGCCAGCCCGTCCGACGGCAAGCCGCCTGCGGGCGACGAGGGCGGCAGAGCCACAGAGGCGGCGGCGCGGTTGCAGGACGGCGGCGAAACTGGCAGCGACGGGCGCCGGCCGCCGGCGGGGCCAACGCGGGCGGCGCGGCGGCCGCCCTATGGGAGGCGACCGACTTGCGGCTTGCCGGAAGAGGCTGCCGGGCTGCGGGCGCGGGCCGCGGCCTGGCGCCGCTTCCCCGTGGAAGAGGCGGCGCGTGCCTTGGCCGCCCTGGGGCCCTGCGCGCCTGCAGGTAGGGCGCCCCGCACAGCCGGGGCGCCACGTAGCCGCGGCGGCCCTCTTGCGCTGCTCCTGGTGTTGCTGCGTCTGCTGCTGCTGCTGCTGCTGCTGCTGCTGCTGATGATGATGATGCTTCACAGCTTCCCCCAAATGTTTATTATTCTTGGCTTTCTGTCACGTCGTCTCTTCGTCGTCGTTTTGTTCGTTGCTGCTTGCCACAAGGCTCCCCTCGGCTGGTAAAAGTATGTCTGCAATTTCTATCGTTCTCTCTCCTTCCCTCTCTGTCTCTATGTTGTTCCTGTCCCTCTCTCTCTCTCTGTCTCCCTCATGTGTACATATACACACACGTATGTGTATCTGAGTAGGCCGCGGGAAGGCTCGGGACCACGGCCCCGGTGACGCATGGCCGCCCCAGGGGCCCCACGAGCGCCCCCGCGGTGACCAGATTGGCCCAACGGATGGCCCCAAACGTGTTAGATGGCACAGAGGGCGCACAGATGGCCCCCGGACAGGACCAACACACTCCGAGAGCGTCGAATTTGGCTTTCGGACGGCCTCCGAAGGCGTCTTGGCTGCGCCAGGATGGACCTGGGCGGCCTTCAGTGACCGCAAGAGATCTGAGGATTAAGATGAGGAGGGGAAGTACGAGGAGCGGGAAGAGCAGGATAACGTGAATAATGAGGATAAAGAGGAGGATGCTGTCAATGAGGTTGAGACTGATATGGGGAAGGGGGATGAGGAGCGCTTGCAGGAGCAGGAACACGGTGAGTATGATCAGGAGGAGGAGGAGGAGGCAGGCCATGAGGGAGAAGGAGGAGAGGGGTGATAACCAGAAGGAGGAGTCAGAAGAGCTGATGGGGGCCAGTAGGAGCAGGAACAGTAAAATGAGATGCAGGACGAGGCGGAGGAAGAGGAGGCATTAGCAGCACGATGAACAGACAAACAAGGCAGGAGGAGCAAGGGTGGTATAATCAGGTGCAGCAGGAGGGGGGCGGCCAAAGGAGGAGGAGGTAGAGCAGCAGGAGCAGACGGTCAGGAACTTTTGTATAGCGTTTCGCGCCGCCCGTTCTGGCCTACCACGCTTTGTCGCGTCGCGCGATCCACTTCACGGTCCCTCAGCGTCAACGTCCTGAGCTTTCCCGAGCCTCCCGCCCCACGGGGCAGAGCGACATGCTATCCGCTCGCAGGGCATGGCGTGTCGCCGGGGCCGCTGCGGTGATACGCTAAGCAAACAGTCCAGACCGTAGGAGGGGCGGGATGATGAGGAAACGGTTGGGGGGGGGATGACATGAAGCAGGTGGAAATCGATACTCAGGAGGCAGAGGCGTACGAAGAGAAGAGGCAGTGTCAGGAAGAGGACGACAAGAAACTGGAGTGGCCGTATAACGTGAAGGAGCGTCAGGTTGTGTTGAATGTGCAAGGTAGACACCAGGGGACCAGGGGAATGACGACGGCGAGGAGGAACATGATGATGGTGACGAGGTGGACAAGGACCCGAAGGATGCGAACCTAACGTGCGGGTTGGGAAATGTGTGGGAGATGGGGGAATGGGCCGTGCAAGTGGAGGGGACGGAGGAGGAGAGGGAGAAGGAAGAGGACGTGGAGGAGGAGGAGGACGGCGAGGATGACGCTCGAGGGAGGCGCTCGAGGAGCTGGACCCAGGGCAGAACTTTTCCGACGATGAGATCGAGCAGATAATGTTGGAGCCCCGCCTGTCTGGCTGGCCGTACCTTCCTCTTGTTTGTGTGTTTCTCTCTCTCTCTCTCTCTCTCTCTCTCTCTTTTTCTGTTCTCTCTCTCTCTCTCTCTCTCTCCGCTGCTGCTGCTTTCCCGCCCTCTGTGCGTAGTATCCGTGTTCATCCTCATACATGTTCCGTGGCGTTACGCCACATCTTTCATTGCACAATGCCAGTGCGCTGTTGCTATCCGTATGTCTTTCTTTCTCGATCCGTTTGTTATCTGTCCATCTTTCTGATTGCATATAATTGCATATGTGTACGTGTAGGTCGTTCGATCTTCGCATCTCTACCACTCTCGTTATGTACAAGTGCACCTTAAAGTTCATACGTGTGTCTCCCGCCTCTCTCTCTCTCTCTTTGTCTGATTTCCTGTCCGGCGAGATGTATGGTTCTCGTACAGCAGTTGCATTCGAGATTTGAGATGCGTAGTTCCTAACACCGTGGGTCGATCTAGAATGTGATCTTTTCCCAGCCCGTCGCCGAGGGCTTGCAAGTACTGCGGCGCGCAGCACGGTCTTGCACGCACGAACCGAGACAGTCCAGGCAATACGAGCTAACGAGGAGCGTCGGGCGAGCGTCAACGATACCGATGAGGTACCAGAGTGCCCGGTGTCGTTGCTACTTGCTGTGGGCGGCCCGCAGGCCCGGCCGTCCACCGCATCCACATATTGTCTGTTCCTTCGGTTTCGGGGCGGTACTAGACACTAGACGCCGTTTCGCCCAGTTGGTTCCTCACAAAATTATTCGGATGTTACCGAAGGCGGCTATGACAAAGCGCAGTCGCCACCCTGCCCTTTTTGGAAATGCCTGTGTGGCCAAACGTTGAGCCAAAGTCTGGCTAAGGCATGGGACTCTCTGTTCACCCGGCCATAGTGGGAACCATATGGGGGGAAAATTTGGGAAAGGATGAGGGAGCGTAGAAAACGAGGGATGAGAAAGAGGACGAGGAGGAGGAACAAGCCTCTTGGGGTTCTCTCGGGGCCCTCTTTGGGCCAAATTTCTGGGGGCCTCCTGGGGTTTGCTCCTCTTTGGGGGCTTCTTGGGCCGTCTTAGGGCGCTCTTGGCCCGTCCGACGCCTTCGGAAAACCGTCTTAGAACCTTCTCCCGGCTGAATTGGGGCCCGCTTGAGGCGCTTTAAAGCAATCTTGAAGGTCGCTTGGGCCGTATTGCGGGTCTCTTGGTCCGTCTTGGGGCTTTCTTGGCCAATCTTAGGGCCTTCGTGGGGGCTCTTGGGCCGTCTGGGAGCCATATTGGAGGCCAGCGGGGTCGTTTTGGGCGTGGGAATGGCATTTCGGGGGCCTCCTGTAGGGCGCCTTGGAGTCCCCTGAAGGGCGTATCGGATACCCCCTGGCCAGTCTTGAGACCAACGTGGGCCGCCTTGGTTCATGTTGGGGCGTCTTGGAGGCATCCTATGGTCACCTTGGGCTCTCTTGGGGGCATCTTGTCCGTCTTGGAGGCGTCTTGAGACCGTCTTGGGGACCGTCGTGGGGGCCATCCTGGAGGCGAGATGTCTTGACTTTTGCGTGGTTTGGGGTTCGCCCAGGTCTTTCCAGCTGGCCGGCGTGTTGGGCCGGGGGCCGTTAGTTATCTAGCATTGCGCTTGAGTAGCGGATCGCGGGCATCGGGAATGCTTCTTAGGGTCTCTTCGGGTGTTTCTTGTGGTCTCTTGGGATTGCTTTGGGGGGACTCTTCGGAACATGTTCGGGGTTCGGTCTTCGTGGCCATCTAGAAAAGCTCTCAAAGCTAGTGTGATGTCCTCATCCTGGGCCCCTTCGGAGGCTTCCTTGGAGCCATCTGGGACCGTCTTCGAGGCCTCCTGGGCCGTCTTGGGGCGATATCTGGGGCTGTCGTGTGGCCCTCGTGGGAGCCCTTGGGGCCCTCGTTGGGAGACATTGAGGGTTTCTTGGGCCGTCTTGGAGTGGTGAAAGGCCGAAGTGGCGAAAACGCCGATCTGGGCATCTTCGCCTTCTCTTTGAGGTCAACTTGGAGCCCTTCGGGGGCGTTTCGAGGGCTTCTTGAGCTGTCTCGGGAATCTCTTGGGCCGGCTTGGGCCCTCTTGGACTGGCGGCGCCTTGGGGTCCTCTTGGCCCGCTTTGGGGCTCCTCATCACTCGGACCCCAGAGAAGTCAGGCGACACGCCTCAGCAGGTCGAGCGACCGGCCGCACGAGCGACGGGCCGCACGAGGCACGCGGGGAGCCAGAGGGGAGCCCAGATCTCTGCCTCGAAGTCCCCAGACAGAGCTTTTTGACACTCAGTGCTGGTGATGCCCCCAGGAGCACTCCATCCAGGGACGCGCGGCCGGATGGCGGATTCACGCGCTCCTGCACCCAATCGCCACCAGTCTGCATCCAATCTCCACCAGCCTCCATCAGTCTGAATCCACTCGCATCGCACCCATCTGTTCCTCAATGCACTCCGTGGGCCAAGCTGGCGAACTCCCTGGTTTCGTCCCCCAGCTAAGAGTATGTAGCACGCAGGTATGTTGTTTGTGATCGGCAGTTCTCCGAGCGACGTGGTCCGCAAACGAGTATAAAGTCCAGAAGGCCAAAGTTGTATTTGTTACACACGTATCTACAAAACACAAATGACATACCTCAACCTGCTTTAGCAGAGCTCTTGCTCAGAACTCGTCGGAATCGCCCAGTACCCTTGTCGCCACTGCTGATTGGACGGGTGCAAGAGAAGGCGTCTCCGAGGTCACTATCTTCTCGCGACCCCCTCGGTACCTCCCGTCCTCCGTTCTTCTGTCATCCCCTCTACCTTGCCCCTTGTCTTATCCACCTCTGCCCTCCGTCTCTCTCCCTCTCTGTCCCCTTCGTTTCGTGTTGTTCCCTCCCACTTCTCTCTCTGGAGTGCCCGCACTACCAGCATCATGACGATGCATCAGTGTGCTGTGTGACTTGGCCGTAAGCTGCGTAGCACCCAGGAACAGAACAGTCAGGACCCGTCTTGTTAGATCCCAACGAGCACAGACCGCCAGGACCAGCCGTCATCAGACCCGATCGTCCGCTCGTCTCGGGGCCTCTTCCCAGGCGAGCCACCAGGCGCGCCTCGATGCTCACAGATAGCACACCAGCGCTTTCCTCACCTTGTCCTGAGTGCGCTGCTTGAGCTGCCGGCAACTTCTCCACACTTCACTGGCGCCGGCCGCCGCGGGGGGTGCCCCGAGGCGGCGCCATCTCTGTCGCAAGCCCCGCATCACGCAATGCCAAAGCGTGCGTACAGCTGGTGCTTTCTGCTCGGGTGTGCAAACGGAGCGCTCCACACTCTGATTGCCATTTTCTTTCCAGTCGGGGTCCCCACGGACCGCGCCAGGGGAGTCGATATCCCCGTCCCCTGATCACATGCGGCACTTCACGCCACAAGAGGTTGGCGCGGATGGCGCTTGCAGCCCTCGCGCCAGACGGGCTTCGGCCCGCCGAACTGTCAAGATCCTTATGTTTTTCTCTCTCTCTCTCTCTCTCTCTTTTCCCAAGCCACCTCGGCCATCCACCTCTCTCCCCCTCTCCCTTTCGCTCTCCCTCAGTTTTGTGTTGTTCTCTCTCTCTCTCTGCCTCTTTCTTTCTTTCTGTCCCTCTGACTCTCTCTCTCTCTCTCTCTCTCTCTCTCTCTCTCTCTCTCTATATATATATATTCCCCTCTCTCCCCCTCTCCCTCTCTTCCTCTCTCCCTCCCCCTCCCTGCCTCTCCCTCCCTCCCGCCCCCCGCGTCACCAACCACAGGAAGGCTCCCCGAGGGGACCGGGCACCCCTCACTCGGGGCACCCCCTTTGGGCCGCCAGGGCGGCGCTGCGCCGCCCGCCCGCCTCTCCGGGGAGAGGGCGGCGAGGGGTCGCGCCTCCTCGTCGGAAGGGGGGGGGGGGGGGGCGCGTCGGCCCCGTGCCGGGATGGGCGGGAGCGCGGCGCGTCGGGCGGCCGCGCGTCCCGCCCTCCCTTTCCCCCCCCCCCCCCCCCCCCCCCCCCCTCCTCCCTCCTCCTCCTCCTCCTCCTCCTCCTCCTCCTCCTCCCTCCTCCTCCTCCTCCTCCTCCTCGTCCCCCTCCTCCGTAGCCATTTTGGTTCAAAATGTCTGCTTTGCGTGAGCTGGGCAAGGATACCGCTAGTCCGCGGCCAGTCCAAGCTTTACAGCGACAACCACGGGTGAGCTGGCACCCCTCCATATTCCCCGTTCGCGCCCGTTCCCACCGAGCGGTCGACTCCTGCCCACAGGGCAAAAGTGCGCTCGCATGGCAGGTGGGGACGGCTCTGGTCGTGGCTCTGGGCGCGCTGGCGGCAGTCACCGCGGACCAGGTGCTGCTGCCCCTCCTGGACGACAGCGCCGTGAGCCTGCCTCCCCCGCTTCTGGACGGTCTCTCTCGAGAAGTACGAAGGAACGGAGCGCCCGCTCGAGACGGAGAGCTGCCAAGAAGGACGACGTGCTGGCGGTCCCTGGCTCCCGTCGTGACGGCAAGCGATATCCACGTGCCACGCACGAGCCTCAAGCGGCTGCCGCCCCCTCAGATCCAGATCTACTTCATGCTGCCTTGCCTCGCCCTGCCGAAGTACCTGATCATTGGCAAGTACCTGGTGGTGGACCATGGCCAACGCGCACATCGCTCCATGGCACACCTGTTGGAGGCTGCCCCACCCCGATGGGGATCTCCGGCGACCTCCAGGCCCTGCTGGACAGCTGCATGCAACAGGACACCGTGGCGCTGGCGGAGACGTCGCGTGACCAGCTCGCCTCCTGCCAGCAGCAGCTCGTGGGCATGTTCCAGGCCCAACAGGAGCACGTCGCCAAGTCGCTCGCTGCCCACGCCCGAGATGTTGCCAAAGTTGGAGAGCGAGCAGGCGCCCTGGCCGAAGAGAAACGGCGGATGCGGGCCCATATCGATGACATCGAGAAGACGCTCGCCATGGCCGAGAAAGAGATCCCGATCATCGACTTCCAGGCGCTTGAGGCGTGGTCCAGGCTCCCCGACGCGAGGGTCTTCTCCGTGGGCGCACCTGAACTTGTCGGCCCTGTGCAAGTGCGCGCTGGCATCTCCGACTGGCTCACAGCTGCTGGCCTCGACAATAGCATGGTCCGCCTCGACTCCTCCGTCCCCAGCACGCGCTTCAACATTGTCGTGGAGGGCGGACTGGACGTCGCCATCCCGCGTGCTCAAGCGCTGGCTCGACATCTGCGTAACCCTGCTGCTCCCAATCGATGGCGCTCCTTCCAGTGCCAAACGGTTGGCGGTGGCTCTGTCCCGCTCTACGTTTCTCCGGACAAATCCCCGCAGCAAGTTCGGATGGAAATCCAAACGAGCCTTCCCGTCAGCATCCTCAGTGAAGGGGTCCCTGGCCAGGCCTTCAGCGCCCAGCGGGCTCGTGGCATCATAGCATCCCAGGGCGTCAAGTTGGCCAAACTCGAGATGGGCGACCGTCGGGAAGCGGACACCACCATCCGCTGGAACATGGACATGGTCTCGCGGCTGGCCATCGACAGGGACGCGATCGTCGAGCGGTTCAAGAAGGCCTTCTCGCTGGAGGACCGCACGGAGTGGATTTAGCATTTCGCGCTGGGCTCATGGGCGCCCGCCGACTTCAGATGGTCGCTCTCGCGGGCTGCATTTGGTGGCGTGGAACGCCAAAGGCCTGCCCCACCCGAACCCGCCGCTTCGGCGCCGCAAGCTGGCGCTCCTGAGCTCTCACATGCGGGCGGGCGCCATGATCCTCGTCCAGGAAGTCCACCGATCCGAGGATGCGCTGAGGATTTTCTGCATGATACAGCCGCAGCGCTACCTCTCGTTCCTGGCGGCTGGCTCTTCCCCTGGCGTCGGTGGCGTCGCCCTCCTGGTCCCGCAGTTGCCCGTGGCCCCCTCGCCTGGGGCAGCCCCCACATTATCCTTCGACATCGTGATCCCTGGCAGAGTCGCCCTCCTCAGCGTCGTCGACCCCTCGTCGCAGCGCAGCATCGAGCTCATGAACGTGCACCATTTCGACTTCTCAGATGGCGACTTCGCCGCGGTGGAGGCGGCCTGGAACGACGCTCTTGCCTGGGCCGCGGACGACCACTTGAGGCGCATCTTCATCGGGGCGGGTGGCTTCAACATCGCGGACCGCCCTGCAGCTTCGCAGCGGTCTCCTGTGGCAGAGGAGACATGGCGATTACGTCCTGATCAACGCTGCCAGCTGCGACAGCCTGCGTGACGTCGACTCTTTGGCGCGGCCCTGGAGATCGAGGCGCAATGGCCCACCCGCTTCGACAAGGCCAGCCAGCAGCTCTCGGTCATTGACCGCATCTTCTTGGGAATCGACGCGCGTGCGATGCTCTCCGTCTCCACGCGCCTCGCGAGCGCTTGCGACGCGATGGAGTTGTCGGAGCTCGGCCTTAGTGGCCATGCGCCCCTCGTCTTGCAGATCGAGATGGCCCGACGCGTCCCTCGCGAGGAGCAGGCGATCCCGTCGCACCTGTTCACCCGAAGTACCCCGAGACTCTCTCTCTCTCTCTCTCTCTCTCTCTCTCGCTCTCTCTCTCTCTCTCTCTCTCTCTCTCTCTCTCGTGATGGGGAACGGCGATCAGGAGGCGGCGACGGTCGAGGACCGCTGGCGCGCCGCCAAGACGTGCATGAAATTGGCTGCCGGTCGGATCCGCGACGAGCAGTTGCGCACCAACTTTTCCCTGAAGGTCAAGGAGGCAATGCCGAGACCACGCGCGTGGGCTTCAAAACTGCGGCGCGGGCCCTCTGGCGCCAGGATGCGCCGCTCGCGGCCCGCCTTATTGCATCGTGCCCTGACCTCTCCGCCCACCTGGTGATCGACCATGGCTCGGTTCGCGTGGCGGGCGCCAGGGCCTTCGCCGAGGCCTTCGGCTCGGCCGCGGCGAAGGCGCATGCCATGCGCGGGCTGGCGGCCGAGGCCGCTGCGCGGAGGTCCAACGACCGCGACAGCCCCGCCTGGCGCCGCGTGGAGCGTAGGTCTGCCCGACACGCACAGCTATGGACCCCCTGGCGTCGCCGCATGGCGCTTGCTGGCCTACGGCTTGACTCTGCCCCATGCGCCTCCGACACTGCCTCGGACCCCCCCCCCCCCCCCCCCAAGGTGGTCAGCGACTCCGCGGGCATGACGGGCGTTGTGGCTGAGTACTGGGGCAAGATCTTCGAGCGCGCGCCGACCGTGGAGCAGAAGCTGCGACTCAACCAGTTCCTTGCTCGCTTTGCCCCGCAGCTTCCCGTGGTGGAGCTTCCTCAGCCGTCGCTGCGCGCACTGGGGCGCGCCGCGGCGCGGGCCCCGCCAAGCGCTCCTGGGCCCGACCAACTCCCATGCGCAGCGTGGCGTCGCAGCCCTGGTGCACTACTGCATCTCCATGCTTTGATGGAGCAGCTTTTCAACGAGGGCGTTGGGCCGCATGACCTCAACTGGTCGATCTTCCTCTGCGCGCCGCAGGGGGCGGAGGAAGAGGGCACGCCCGACTCGTGCACTCGAACGGCCTCTATTGTGCGCACGCTCTCCCTCAAGAATGCGGACGCCAAGCTCATTGCCTCCTGCGCGGATCGCGCTCTGCAGCCCGCTGCCTCCGTTGCGACGGAAGGGGTGCAAAAGGGCTTCACCGCTGGGCGCCGCTTCGTGGACCGCGTCCCGTTCCTGGACGCGGAGTGCCGCCGCGAGGGTCTCCTCCCTGGCGCCGCTCAGCGTCGCCCGATGCTGCTCTCCTTCGACTTCGGACAGGATTTCCCGTCCCTCTTCCGCGACGTGATCGACATCGCGCTGCCGAAGTACGGCGTCCCTTTGGGCTTCTGCAGTGTGATCTCGGCGTTGCACTGCAACTGTCTCGCCTTCAGCTCCTTCCGGGTCTCGGGGGGCAGTGCGGCGATGGAGCCGCTCTTTGCCTTGTGGTGCGGCATCGTGCAGGGGTGCTCCCTCTCGGGCACGGTCTGGCGCCTGGGTATGGATGCCCCGAGCCGCGCTCTGATCAAGGCGCTGGGAGACCACCAGAAGGCTGCCTCGCAGCGTGCGCGTACGATCTGGGCATGCTCATCCGCAACGCCAAGATCCTCCCGCCCATCGCCGAGTCTTCCGAGGACATTGAGTTCGCATTCAACCTGCAGCTTGCGATCCACAAGTGCGCGCTGGCCCCGCTCTGGGCCGAGGTCGCGCCCAACCTGATCAATGACACCGAGGAGTACCTGACCGAGATGGTCCCGAGCTGGACGGGTTTCCGCGTCGACCCCTCGGCCAGGTATCTGGGCACGCGCATCGGTCCTGGCATCTCGGAGCAGGGCATTTGGAAGGATGCGGCGGCGAAATGGTGGTCACGGGCTGCGGAGATGAGCCGCGCGGGCATGGCGCCCAGCCTTGCCGCCCGCGCCTACAACGTCAACGCGCTTCCATGCCTCTCCTACCTGGCCCAGTTCTTTTTCATCATCCCCGAGATCTGGCGGGTCGAGTTCACGATGCTTCACCGCCTCCTGCGCCTCCCGCCGTCGGCCATGCGCAAGGCGGACATCCTCTCCATGGGTGCTTGGTGCGCCCCCCCTGCTCCGATGGGCCTGCTGCCGCACTCGGTCGGCGCGCCCTTCCGCGCTGCGGCTCACGCTGCGCGCGACTGGGCGCCCACGTTGCACGCCCTGCACGACGCGGCGGTCGAGGGCCTCCCGCTGGCGAGCGTCCTGAAGGGCTCGCGGTCGCCGACCTGGTGGGCCACCAAGCGTTCCATCGTCCAGAACTACGGCCTCGTGATGGATCTGAGCGGCGCCTTGCCGCACCCGCGCCCTGCGTGTGACGAGGTGCCCGCCCCTGTGCCGACGTCCCTCATCGAGGCGGCTCGCCGCGCCATGGGCGACGAGGAGCAGGCTGCTGCCCGGGCGGCCCCCCCCCAGGAAGGTCAAGCGCCAGGCCGTGGCGATGCGCACCATCCGCGACGGCCTCTACGAGGAACGCCTCGACCAGCTGATCGGCCGCCGTCTGCGGCGCTGGGGCTCGGAGATGCCCGCCGATGAGCTGCGCGGCCGTTGGCTGGAGCTCCGCGCCGAGCTGCGCGCAGCTCGCCCCGCCTGGATGTGGTCGCGGCTGCGCACCGTCACCAACGGCTTGATCACGTCGGGCAGGATGCACATTATAGCGCCCCGCCCTTGCATCATGCGCTGCGAGGCGCGGGACGACCTATCGCACTACATGGCGTGCCCGGTGCTCCGCGGCGCGGTCGCAGCGCCAGCGGAGGCGAGTGAGCTGGGCAGCGGCGCCACGTTCCTCGGGCTACGCCACCTGAGTGAGCACCGTGCGCGGCCGCGCATTGTATGTGTACGCGCGGTGGCGTTGGCCACGCAGCTGTTTCATATTCTGAAGTGGCGAGCCGGTGGCGGCTCGCCCATCCATGCCGCTGCAATCGCCTTTGCGCGTTTGGCAGCACTGCATCGTCTACAGGCATAGTGCGGCTCCGTCGAAGCATTGTTCTGGAAGCTTATCCGCGCCTGCGGTCGGACGCGTGCGGGCATCTTGCCCTCGTCTCGCGTCTTGCCCGCTTGCCCTCGTCTTTTCCTCTTTGAGTACGTGCACTCCTCCTCCTCCTCCTCCTCCTCCTCCTCCTCCTCCTCCTCCTCCTCTCGCCTCCTCTCTCCTCTCTCCTCCCTGCCTCTCTGCCGCAGAGCTTCATGTCAAAAAGTGTCACACGAGGCCACGCCACGCTGGCCTCGAGAGGATGGAGGTCGGCTCGGGGAAGGTACCCTGGGTCTCCTCGTGTCTGTTGGGTGTTTTGGTGCATCCTGAGGTAGGGCACCCTCGAACGTTCTTCGGTTTGGCCGGCGGGAGGTCTCATGTTCTTGAAGGATGTGTTTCTGCCCTAGGTCCGGTCGTACATGAACCCACGTTGGTTCTGAGAGTACGCATTGCCCGAACGTTCGTATCACGCGGCTGGTCTCTTCGACCGGCGGGCCGTTTTCATGTGCGTTGTTTGGCGCGTGCGTACCTTGTGGGCCCCCTAATTTGGCGCGACCTTGGGCGCCGCTTGGAGAAGACCTGGCTTTCAGAACCCCCTCATGCCCAGCAGTGGGCATTTTTGATTAAGGTGGCGCTTGCCGCGCCCCAGGCCCAGCAGTTTGGCAAAGCAGCCTGGCTGCTGCTCTCCAGTAGGTCTGGAGGGGCCCGAGTTCAGAGGAATCAAAATTTCGTTTGATCTCGATTATTGTTTTCTCAGGGCGCCGCTCGAAAATCTATCCATCAGCCCCCCCGAGGCCAGGACACAGACTAATCCCACGACGTTGGCAAGTCGGGAAAATGACACCCTTCCCTGCAAAGTCGCCCAGTGTAGTTGTTTTGGGGCTGCACTGCAGGATTGGGGTCATTGTCCTGGTCTATGGGGGTTCTGTATGCGGTTAGGGTGTTTTCTGTGTTCATTACGGGGATGTTGCAGTGCTGTTTTCTTTCGTGCCGCCGTCTGGGAAAGATTGGTTTCGAGGGATGTTAAATATCCCGGTCTAGCGTGTCAGGGTTTACGGCGCCTTCATTATTGTTGTGTTTGCTGCGCATATCGGCCACCGCGTTTGCGAGAGAGGACTCTTGAGGCTGCAGCGCATGCACTGGATTGCGCGCCGCACCGACTGCTCCACACTGATCGAAACACCCACGTTGCACCACACATAATGCACCACATAGACTGCGGAGTTTTTGGAGCGCACCTCTTCGGAGGGACCGCGTCAGCCCTTTGAAGCGGCCTCTGGTGCCGCTTGGAGATCTACATGGGACGCTCCCGGAAGGCCCTCGCCGTCAAGGATCGAAGGAGTTGGCATCTCTTCCCCGGCGGAAGATCGACGGAAGCCGGCGGAAGTAAAATGAGAGCGGTTCCGCTTGCGGAAGCATGCAGTGATGGCAATCTGGTTGGGTTCAAGGTGCTTGTGGCCCGCCAGTTCGGGGGGGACCGTGTCAGCCCTGTGGAGCGGCCTGCAGCGCTGCTTGAAAATCTGCATTGTGGGAGGGCTGTCTGGCCGTTCCGCGGCCGCTCCCTCCTCCCTCCTGACCCCCCCCTGCTGTCACCGTAATCAGCTACGGATGCATCCCGTCGTTGGTCCGACCGCTTGTTGGACCCAACTCGCCGCAGACCATAAAAAGTCAGCCTTGTAGGCTGCCGTGTTCCCTTGTTGCCGACGACGGCTCGACGCGGGCTCGACGTTCGGCACGAACTCAAAGCGCAGTCGGGGCGGTTGTTGCACGATGGGGTCGACAGGACCCCCTGAGCACGCTTGCCCCCCCCCCCCCCAATTGGCTCTCGGTGGCGGTGGCCCCTGCTCCTCCTCCCCAAACATGCGAAGTCCTGGTTGTTTCAACGCGCGTACCCAGAAATGCTGACCCTTTGCCCAAGGCCAGGTTTTCATCCCGAGTCGTTTCTTGACGGTCCCGGGGCCGAGTAAGGGTCCCCAGAGGCCGAAACAGTAGAAAAATGTCAGTCCTGATTTTTGTCATGACGTTGCACACCTGGATCTGACCCCCGCTCCCCGCATTCCCGCCGCTCCCCCTTGCTCCGGCGGAGGCGCCCCCCCCACCCGAGGGTTCTCTTCGGAGCCCATCTGGCGGCGCCGAACGAGATCAGGTGTTACTCCAGCCTGCGGCGTCCTGCGGACCATCATCCGGCGCGCCGAACTGGCTCCGCGCATCTGTTGCGATTTGCTGAATTGGCTCTAGCCCGTCCAGCGTCGTGGCCTATCTGGCGAAATGTCGCGGGCGAAATGTCACCCTTTCCATGTGAAAGCAATACGCCGAATGGGCCTTGCGCGACGCGCCGAATGCGCTCAGCAAGGGACCTCTGGGCACCCCCCGCTCCAGCCGGTGCAGGAGCTGCAGCCACCGCCGCACACCGAGCCGCTGCCCGTCCGGAAGCAGCAGCGCCGCGGTCGGTTCGCCCGCCGGCCCCAGGGGCTCCCGCAGCCCCCCCCACACCGCCATGCCTATATCTGCGAGCACTTGCGAACCATGGCCCCTGCGGGTCCACTCGACGCAGGGGCACATGGCTGCAGACAGTCCCCGGATTCTGAAACCGATCAGGCGTTTCGGAAATCTCACCTACCTGCAGGGGTAGGGCTCACATCCGGTTAATTACCTACTCCAGGCGTCAGGGGCAACGTTAAGGGGGGGAGGGCCCAGGAGATCGAGGTTCGAGCTTCCAGGTTCAAGGTTCGCGCTTTCTGTATGCTTCTGATCGTCCTGGGGCGCCCTCGTGGCCTCGGCTGGATCCGCTTCGAAATCGTATTCCGGCCGCCCGACCGACCGTGCCCCTCCCCTCCGCCCCGTGTCCCCATGTCTGCGTATCCCGACCGACCGACCGACCGTGCTTCCCCACTTCGCCCCGTGGCCCCCGCCGACCGACCGTGCCCCCCTTTCCGCCCCGGGGCCCCCCCCGCCTGCATATTCCGACCGACCGACTGTGCCCCCCCCGGTCCGGCCGCGCCGCTGCCCCCCCCCCCCCCCCCCACGATGGGCCAAAGGCTCCAGGGCAGCGCATGATTGCCCCAAGACAGCCCAAAAGAGCTTTAGACGGGCCCACACAAGACTCCCAATAAGCCCCAGAGACGCCCAATAGCACCATGGCCCCGAGGAGTCATAGAGACGCCACTAGCTCACAGTGGCATAGCAAGTTCTTCACGCCATAGCTCAGCGTGTCGCAGCACTCGCGCGCTTCCCCGAATCTACCACGGGTTGGCGCCACCTCCATCTCCCAGTGTCCCACATCCGTGATTCTATAATCCTTGGCACGCGTGCCTCTTGTTGGATTCGGATAAGGGGCGACGACAGGAAGGGATAAGGGGGGCATAGTTCGAGCATTTTCGTCTGATCTCGGCGGCTTCAGCCTCGGGATGCTCTCCAGCAGCTGCGTCTCGCTGAGATCGTTCGAGGGGTGCCCAGATCGTTCCGAACGCCCGCCAGAGGCTCGAGTCATGGCCCGAAAACCACCAGGAACATGGAGGGGTTCAGATCGCCGATAGGGACCTGATACGTAGCCCGCCCCGACCAGGAGCGTGCGGATTCGATATCGGGGGCCTATGGCCGATCTATCGGCGATGCATCGCCAATTCCAGCTCGATGCTTCTCCCTTTGATCCAGATACCTGATGATTTTTCATGACGTGGACCCCCAGGGGTCTCGACCCATTCCTGGGAGCGGTGTTTCATCCTGAGTCGATGTTTGACGGTCCCGAAGCTTGGCAGTAAGTAACGGCCCCAGAGGCTGAAAACAGCGAAAAACCAATCGTCGTGATTTGTTCATGACCCGAGGGGGTCTGGGGAGGTTGCCCCGCCTAACGCTGCCTCCCCAAGGCGCCGCGATCGTCCCGTGGTGCGTCCCCCTGGCACGTCGCGCGGCGCGTGCCCTTGCACGTCCCATGGCACGTCCACTGGCACGTTCCGTAACGCGTCCCTTGGCACCCCCTTGCATCGCCCAAGTGCATACGGTAGATGACGAGCCAAGAGTTGCAAGTGTGTTGCGAGTTCGCCCCTACGAACTTGCTTGCATGCGTGCGGATAGTGCCACTACGAACCTGGACACATGCAAGTTCGTAGTGTTTGGTTTTCGCCGTCTTCATCCTCATCATCGTCGTCATCACCGCCATCGTCGTCATCATCGTTAGCGTCATCGTCATCATCGCCGTCACCATCGTCATCCTCATCATAACGGTCATCATCGTCATCATTGTCATCATCATCGCCATCATCTTCGGTCGCGTCGAAGTTTTTGCCGCCTCATCGTCGTCATGATCGTCCCCTTTCTCAGCCTCTCTTTCCCCCCATCGCCATTGCGTATCCAGCTACCTGCGGCGAGTCCCGCCACCATACCAGCCTAGCATTATCGGTGACAGCTGCTCGAATCGATGAGGATGCTGACGATGATGATGCTGCTGCTGATGATGGCGGTGATGATGCTGATGACGATGGCGACGACGATGACGATTATGTTGGTGATTGTGATGTGATGGTGGCGACGACGATGTTGACGATGACGACGACGATGATGATGGTGACGATAATGATGATGATAATGATGATAATGATGATGCTGATGCTGATGCTGATGCTGATGCTGATGATAATAATAATAATAATAATAATGATGATGATGATGATGATGATGATGCTGATGCTGATGCTGATGATGATGATGATGATGATGATGATGATGATGCTGATGCTGATGCTGATGATGATGATGATGATGATGATGATGATGATGATGATGATGATGATGATGATGATGATGATGATGATGATGATGATGATGATGATGATGATGATGATGATGATGATGATGATGATGATGATGATGATGATGATGATGATGATGATGATGATGATGATGATGATGATGATGATGATGATGATGATGATGATGATGCTGATGCTGATGCTGATGCTGATGCTGATGGTGATTGTCGTGATTTCACGGGTTTCCGATGCATTTTTGGGGTCCGACGCCGTTTGATGTCGTTCAAGTCTTGAGTGATGTGGGAGAGGCTCACTAAATTCTCTCTGACGAGGGTGGTTTCGTACCTCACCATGCGCCCGCAGGTGCCATCGTGCCCCGCGTGCCCCATTTGCTCCCTCGCGTGCGGGGCTCCCGCGCCGTGCCCTGGGTGCTCGCTGCAGTACCCTGCCAGTCCTCCGTGCGCGGAGGTGGTGCCAGCAGTCTGCCCGGCGCCTGCCCCTTGCCCGGCGCCCGCTTGCCCGGCGTGCGCGGCGTGCGCGGCACCAGCCTCGGGCCTGCTGGGCGGCGCGCTCGGCTTCCTGTTCGCGGCGGCCTTCATCGGGTGCTACTGCGCGGCGGTGCGCCGCGACGCTCGCCCTCGCAGCCGTAGTCTGGCTGGTCTCGGCGATGGCGGCGGCAGCGAAGGCACGGTGGGCATACGTCTTCTACGCAGGCGAGGTGGTATGGCACCAGCACTTGAATCTGGGGAGGGTGGCATTGTCAGAGGCTGATCAAGTCATCTGCGCCGCGGATGGCGACCTGTACATCATGGCTTTCGCCAACAATGCCCATGTGCAGGCGGCGCGCTTCGGAGCCTTCGACCCGCCGCAGTTGGGCATAGCGCCCAACCAGGTGTATCGGTTCCGTGCGGAGCCGACGGACGCCGAGCTGGCCCAGCTCACCGCGGATGCGGAGCAGATCGCAGTCGCGGAATGCCGTGCCCGCGTTCAGGCGGTCGGCAACCTCGGGCTGCTGGCGAATGTGCGCGCACTGGTGGCTCCAGGAGGTGGTGTGGCTGCTGCTCCTGTGGCGCCTGTCGGTCCGGCGCTCGGGTTGTTGCGTGGCGCGGCGCCCGCGGGTTTGGCTACTGGCGGGGCTGATCCTGCTGGTGTGTGGCGTGCGGCTGCCTGCGAGGGTGGCTATCGCATCGGCGACGAGGTCCTGGGCCGCGTCCCCACCGCGGCCCGCGTGCTGGGCCGTGACATCCCGACGGCCAGGGTCTCTTCGTGGAGCTGGTGCCGCCCGTGGCGCTGGAGGCCTTCTTCAGGAAGGCGGTGGACGCTGACGCGAGGATCTTGCTCATCGCGCGCGACGCCCAGGGCCGCAGGGACGTCCCTTGGCACAAGATGATTGAGATGACACGTCAGGAGGATTCCAGATACAACTGGACCTTGCCTGGGCCGAGGACCGCTGCGCGGTGCGCGAATCACTTGCAGCGGGAAGGCCTCGGCATAGAAGGCCATCGCGAGCACTTCCGCCAGATGCTTAAGTTGGGCGCCGCAGGTTGGGGTGTCCAAGAGCACTACCATTTCTGCCAGCAGATTAAGCTACGACGTCCACCTCCTGGATGGCACAGATCTAATCAGCATCGAAATGAAGTTCAGGAGGCCCCAGACCATAGACATCGCGCGCTGGGACAAGGCCAAGGACGCCGAGAGCAAGGGCGTCGGCGGCAAGATGAGTCTGGAAGAGCAGGTTGCTTTCTCGGGGGTGTCTCGTTCGACGTCTTCGGTGATGGTGCCGCCAGATCTAATTGAGCACGTTCGCGGCGACGTCGAGAAGGAGGCTAAGCTGCGCCAGAGTCTGCGGTTGGCCCGCGAGGAGCGGGAGTCCAGGCACAAGAATGATTGAGCCTGGCACTCGCGCTGGCCTCGGAAGGGGGGGCCAGCGTTGATGCATCGCCCCTCCATCTGGGCATCCGTCGTGAACCTGCCCACGCTCAAGACATCCACGAGTTTGGAAGACGTCGGCCCTGGGACTTCATGCCGCTCCCGCGCCCGTTTGCCGCCGGGCCGCTGGATAAGGCTGCAGCTACTGCGCTCGCCAGAGGCACTCGCCGGAGGCTTGGCCAGAGGAGGGCCGTCTGCAACGATGTGCTTCGCGCCGTGGACTCACTCAATTGGCTTCATGATCCATCTCTCACATGTGGTCGCGACCGTCCTGCAAGGCACGTGGGCCCGTCGCTCGCTCGCAGCAAGTGCCGCGCTCGCGCTGACGAGTCTGCGCGGCATCTTGGCCCTCCGCCCTCGCCACTTTCTCCCCCGCAGAAGCGCTCGCGCAGCTTCGCGTGGCCGGGGGCGCCTGCAATGTCGAGCAGTCGCCCCTCGGGAGCTAAGGCTCCCGGCCTCTCCTTGCCCGATGTCAGCTCGGCGCCGGCGCCCCGGGCGGGCGCGCGGGGGGGGTCGGGCAAGCCGAGGTCGAACAGCGCGTTCTGCAGCGCGTGCGTGATCCAAGCGAGGCCGTCGTGCGTCTTTGGCATAGCTCTGTGCCTGTTCCCTATTCTGACCCTCCTCTCCGAGATCAGTGGCGCCGGTCCAGTTATGTTCAGTTCTGCGCGAGAGGCACCTCGTCGACTTACACCTGTGTGGCGGCGCGAGGGCCGGGATCTTTTTCGTGCAGAAGAATGGTGGCCGATTCCGCGCGGTCGCGGATTGCCGCCGTTCCAGCGAGGTTTTCAACGAGCCCTTCGGGGTGCGCCCAGCCACGGTCGACGCCTTCGGCGCGCTGGCGATGGCCGACGATGGCGCCCTGCCCGCCGTCGAGGGCGCCGACCCGAAGGGCGCCTTCTACCACCTGGAGCTGCCAGAGCAGCTGCGCTCGTTCTTCACCCTCAGGCCCACCCGCGCAGGCGCCCTCGGCATCGCGCCAGGGAGGTGCCGGCGTGGAGGCCTCCACCAGGCTCTGCCCGCGCCTGAGGGCGGTGCCCATGGGCTGGTCTTGGGCCACGTGGTGGCGCCAGTGCGTGATGGGGCGCGCTGCTGAGGCAGCTGGCTGCGATGGCGGCGCCCGTCTCCGCGATGATCGCCCGGCGCCGCCGCTGGGCCCTGCCGGCCACCTGGAGTGCGTCGACAACTTCGCCAGCATCGGCTACGGCGCGGACGCGGCGCGCAGCGCTGTGACCCGCGTCGTGGCGGAGCTGAGACAGCGCTGGCCCGTCGTGGCCCGCGAGGCGCGCCTCGGTGACAACGGGGGCGAGTGCGCGGCGCTGGGGCTGTCCATCACCTCGGCAGGCCGCCTCGCCGCATCCGCCGCGCGGCTGCGGCGCGCGCGGCTGGTAGCGCGAAGGCTGCTGCGGCGCGGCTGGGCCAGTGGCCGCGACGTCGAGCGGGTGCTAGGGGGCGTCGTTATCGTGGCGCTCGCTCGCCGCGAGGGCCTCCCCATCTTTCAGTCTCGTTTCCGCTTTGTCCAGATGTGCTACCACCATGAGGGGCCGCTCTGGTCTCAGGTTAGGGGGGGCAGGAAAAGGGATGGTGTAATGGTGCATCCCTCTTACTGTGGCGTGATATCCGTGCTCAGTGGCCCCCGTCCGTCAGCTGCGCGGACGGCCCCCATTCGGGGGTTCGGCGCCTGCGACGCCGAGTGGGAAGTGGCTTTAGCGGCTATTGTTCGGGGCGCGTCTTAGCGAGAGGCGGCGCCATGGCAGGGCTGAGCGCTCGCCTCCTCGTCGCCGAGCCCTTGCCGCTGAGTGCGCAGCCGCCGGGGCCGCAGCCTGCGGCTCGGGGATCGACGCGGCCCAGCTCGCCCCCGTCTGTCAGTCAGGCGACCGCCAGGCCGCCGGCCCGCCTGTCGAGCGGGACTTGCTTGCTTTCCCTGAGGTGCCGAAGAAATCCTGGGACAAGTCTCAGCGGCGCATCGCAGCACGTCGCGAGTGGGATCGTCTTCGGAGGGCGTCTGTCCTTGAGGCTCGCGCGGTTCTTGACCGCGCGCGGCATGCTCTTTGGGAGTCTCGGGCCCATGTAAAGAGGTTGCTCGTCCTGTGAGATTCGCTCGCGTCGGTTTCCGCTGCTTCGAGGGCGCGAGCCCATGGTCATGGCATGTGGGGCATCATGCTTCGCATTGGTGCCCTCTCTTTGGCGTCGGGAAGCTCGCTGTGCATTCGCTGGGTCCCTTCCGAGTGCAACGTAGCTGATGGCCCATCTAGAGTCCGAGGGGGCCCCGGCCAGCCGTCTCCGATAGTCGCAAAGTCTGGGCGCCCGAAATTGGCGCGGAAAGATTGGGCACAACGCACAACGGCAGTTCCTGTTCATTTTGAACCGGGTTCGCTGTCCACGCCGCCGCGGCCTGTGTCCGTTTGAGACAGAAGGCCGCTTGCCCACCAGCGGCCGCTGTTGGTTTGGGACAACATTTGTTGTTGGGCATTGCGCCAATTCTTTCCGTGCCCATGTCGGGCGTCTAAAGACAGGAAGGCCCCGACAAGTCCTCCGAGCACGAGCCCATCCAGGAGCCGTTGCAGGAATACCTGCACACGCGTGCGCAGGGACATACGGGGGGGAGGAGGTCGCGAGCACGGCGCAGAGCACGATCATGAACAGCACGGAGGGGGGGCACCTCATCACGCACGAGAGCCAGCGCTGCATCACTTTCACGTCGACGCACTGGGGGAGGGTGAGCACTTAACGCGCCGCAGCCCAGAGGTCGAGTGGCTCGGGGGTGTCATGGGAGTCAGTGCCTCGCTGGATCCTCAGTTGCCTCACGGCCCGAGAGTACTTCATATCTTTCCATGTCTTGCCGATCACCTTCCTCTTCGCAGTCGCAGCGCTGCAGCCAGTCATGAGCTCCAGGCTCCTCCTGGGCTATCCTCGTAAGCGGCCCTCGGCTGCCTGGAGCGAGGGAATGGCTGCCCCTGCGCCGGGTCGCTCCGCGCGCGACCCCAACGCGGACATGGCGCCCTCGCCTGCCCTCCGGGCCTCGCCCGGGAGCCGCCGGGGCCCGAGCGCGCAGCCGACCCCGCAGTAGCGAGCGCGGCTGATCGAGCCGCCCGCGGGGATGCCTATGCTCAACGCGGCGTCGGGCTGGCCGCCAGGCTTGCGTCGGCATGCTGACGGGCTTCGGCGCCTAGGCGAGCCAGCGCCGTCGCTCGGTCGCGGGGCCGACGCTGCTGGACAAGGCCGCGCGGGACTACGTCAGTCACTTCTTCGACCAGGGCCGCCTGCCAGACCCACGCCAGCCGCGCGATGGCGGCAGCGGCGCGGCGGGGCCCGCGCTTCGCCAAGACGGGCCCCGTCAACCTCCCCCTCGCGAACCAGGCGGCCAAAGGGCGGTGCGACCTCGCGCCGCCGCGCAGTCGCATGGCCCTGCCCTAGAGGTCGTCGCCATGATCGTGCACTATCTGCCCCATCAGCGCAGCGCCCTGGTGGCCTTCGCGATCTGGCTCCTCTTCGACATCTACGGCCGCCCCAGAGAGATCCGCGAGTTGCGACTGCAGGACGTCGCGCCGCCGACCGTAGCGGCGTCGGGCGCGCGCCGCTTCGTCTCGGTGACGCTCCATGCCCAGGAGGTCGGCGACGTCTCGAAGACAGGCGAGTTCGACGCTTCGGCGCGGCTGGACCTCGAGAGGCAGACGGGGCTGGCAGCAGGCCGGCCCGCGATGGCGGCGGCGCGCCGCCGAGAGGTTGCTCCTGCCACGGCGCCGCCCCTCGCGAGGCGGCGAACGCGCGGCGCGAGGCGGCGCGCGCTCTGGGGCTGGCGAAGCTAGGGGCCTGCCACGTCTACCGGCTTCGCCACTCGGGGCCCAGCCACGACTGCGCGGCGGCCCTGCGCGACCTCGAGTAGAATAACCGCCAGGGCCGCTGGATGTCACGGAGCTCCGTGCGGAGGTACGAGAAAGGAGGGCGGCTGACCGAGCAGCTGCATAAGCTGCCCGTCGCGCAGCGCCGCCACGCCGACGCCTGCGCCCTGAGCTTGAGCCAGTCGCGCCACGGCCTGCCTTCGCCTGTCCTGCCAGCGTGCCCGACACGCCAGCAATTATTGATCTGTTCTCGGGTTCGGCTATGCATGCCCAATTATGCATGCCCGTGCTGATGTTGGGTACCGCTTTTGGCGAAAAGTATGACCTCTCGCGCCCTTGCAATCGTTCGCTGATTCTTTCGTGGGCTCGGTCGGGTCGAAGCAGAGGTTGGTATGCTGGCGTTCCCTACAATGCCCTCACTCGGTGCGGCGACCATGGGGTCGGCGCGCCTCCTGTTCGCTCTGATATCCACCTCCTTGGCTTGCCCAAATTCAAACCTCAATTGCAGGCGATCGCTGACGTGCCTAATGTTCTGAACAGTTTTGTCGCCACACTGGCGTGTATGAGGTTGTCCACGCGAAACCCCTGGAGCGTTGAGAACCCGAAGACGTTCAGATTATGGTTGTTCCCCCGCTTCAAAACTTTGGCGCGCCGGCGCGATGATGCCTTCCACATTAGTTCCATGTGCCAGTGGGGAGCGCCGTAGAAGAAAGATACAGGGCTCATGTTTGGAGACCTTGATCCAGGACCGTTTCGGGTCTCTCGGTGTAACTCCAGACGGGAGGCTCGTTTTCGCAGAATCGTCCCCACCAAAAACTCCAGGGTTTCTTGCCCCAGGGCGGGTTTAAAACCAAGCAAGGGGCAGAGTATCCACGTAAGTTTGGTGTTGCTCTCGCACGTCGCTTTCACAATGCTGCACTCAAAGCCTCCGCTAAAGTTTTCCAGAAATCTTTGGGTTAGTGGGTCTCCTTTTTTTCGGCGTTGCCAGTGTGCTCGGCAAAATCGGGAGTATCTCTGGTGATTTTGGCTTCGGGGCGAGTTCACCCCTCGAGACTTGAGCGTGCCCGTGCCTTGCGGCGGCCCCGACGGCAGGATCCTGCGTGTGCTCCGTCTCTTGCAGTCGCTGGCTGACACAAGAGCGCTGCGGATGATGATTATGATGATGATGATGATGATGATGATGATGATGATGCTGCTGATGGTGATGGTGATGGTGATGGTGATGGTGATGGTGATGGTGATGGTGATGGTGATTTCCAGTATCGCACGCGACGAAGTCAGCATGCAACGGACCTTCGGGCGTTGAGGAGACGACCCCGACGATACGACAACGACGACCACGACGACGACAAATACGTCGACGACGACGATGACGACGACGACGACTGAGACGATTGAGACGACTCGGACGACCCCGAGGACTCAGACAACCCAGACAACCCAGACAACGACGACGACGACGAAGACGACAAAGACGGCGACGACTCCCACTCCGACTACGACCCTGACGGTTCCGACGACTCTAAGGACTCCGACGACCTTGACGATTCCGACGACTCCGACGTTTCCGACCACTCCGACACCGACGACAACGACGACGATGATGACCACGTTTCCGACTTCGGCTCCGGCTCCGTCTCCGACTGCGTTTTTAATGACTCCGACGATTCCGACGACGACGCCGACTTCGGCTCCGACTCCGACTCCGACAACCCCGGCGGCTCCGACTCTGACGATTCCGTTTCCGACTCCGACGACTCTGATTCTGACCCTGATTCTGATTTTGGCAACGACTCTGACGACGACGACGACGCCGACGACGACGATGACGACGACGATGATTTCGACGACGACGACGATGACGACGACGACGACGACTCCGGCTCCTGTTCCAGCTCCTGGTCCGTCTCCGGCTCACTTCGGAGGAGCGTATCTTCACACCAATCCATTCTTAAGATGTACAATTGATACCAGGAATAGTTGTTCGGTGCCGCTTGTCTTTCCAATATCATTTCGTTGATATGTGTTTCGTTTTTCCCTCCGTTGCACCGCGCGTATGCCTCTTCCTTTATCCGCCACCTCCCGCCTTCCTCCGCTCGCAGCCGAGGTAGAATGAAGCATCGGCCCTGTTATCTTGTAGGTCTTGCCGCGTCCTCATTCGTGCAGCCTTACCAAGACTTCGTATGTCCTGGCCAGGGTCTGACTTTGGTTTGATCCAGATAGATCGCCCTCCGATCTGGCCCGCCCATAGAGGCCACCACGGGGCTGCCTCCTAACCTTCGTCGTCCTCTTCGTCGCCCTCGTCGAATTTGTCGTCGCTCTCGTTCTCTCCCTCTTTTCTCCGCCTCTTGCCCTTTCTCACACCGTCAATGTCGTGGACTTCGCCGATAAGCGACGCCCAGAACTCTCGAACCCGTTCCAAGGACCAGCCCTCCCTCCCAGATGTCGTTCTGACGGTCTCAGAGCTCGAAGGCGGGGCCCCGCGAAGCCGAACACAACATGGCGCGGCGCGGCAGCGGCGCCCACGAGAGATCTCCGGAGGTTCTCTGGAGATCTTCGCACTGATCCAGAGGTTCTTGCGAGCCTCCCCCCGGCACACGACGTGGCAAGAGCGTCCCGAAGCCTCGATGCTCGGCCTTGCCTCCCCGAGCCTCGATCCTCGAGCCCGCTGGCCCTCTGGGCGAACCGAGGCGGCAACGGCGCCGTGGTACGCTTGCCTCAAGTCGGGCCTGTCCCTCTACAGGAGGAATATTCCAACCTAGTCGAAAAATAGTCAGGGGACGATGTTTTGATTATGTTTGCCTATTCGGGGGGCATTTTTTGAGTATTTTTTATTTTTCGCACAAAAATCCCCCTGTAGGGGGACACGCCCGACTTAATGCTTGCCCCCGTCCCCTGTCCTCGTCGGCTCCCTCGGCATCTTACCATCGAAAATTGGAACTCGTGCGCCACAAGTTTTGCGGCGACGTCGATATCTGAGGCCTGCGGCCCTTCCCGCGCTTCTCTCTGGGGACGAGCTCTGTCGCGATGGAGGCGGTTCGTTCATTTATTCCCTCGTCGTCCTCGTCGCCTCCCTCGTCGTTTTCGCCGCCGCCTGGCAACTGGGAGGTCCAGGGATAACCCAGGTTATCGGGTCCGCCCGCCCCCCCCCCTTCCCTTGGATAATCTGATCTCGTCGGCTTCGCAGCTCCGAGGGGGGTATACAGTACTGGTGCGCGCGGGCATACAAGGGGCTACCCAAAGCGAAAAGGTCGAGTCATAGGCGGTCACCTCCCCCGCTACCCCCTCCACCGAACAACCCGAGTCATCGCCAGCTGGCCCCTTGGGAGGCGGGCCAACCGGGACCGCGGCTGCAGCGGCGCGTGTCCCTCGTGGGCGGGCGCGCATCGTCGCCGCAGCGGGGCCCGTCCGGCGGATCGCCGCGACTCCTCGTCGTCAAGCAGGACGGCGGCCGCGCGCGCAAGCGTCGTCGCCGCCGCCGCCGCTGCCGCTCGTCGTCGTTGTCGCCGTCGTCGCCGCCGCCGTCGTCGTCGTCGGCGTCGTCGCTGAGATTCGAGGGTCGAGGTTTTCGGGCGTCCCGTTCGGGGACCGCACCCGCCTTAGAATAGTGGCCAGAGCGTACCCCGAGGCAGCTCCAGCAGTCGTCGTCGCCGTCGTCTTCGGGATAAGAGGGGCAAGGAGGAGGAGGAGGAGGAGGGCGAGGAGCGGCAGGACGAGGAGGAGGGAGGAAGAAGAGGAGGGAAGGAGGAGCATGCGGAGGAGGAGACGGAGGAGGACAGGATGAGGAGTTGGGGAGGAGAGGGAGAGAATAAAGAGGAGAAGGAGGAGAACGACGAGGAGGGGAAGAGGGAGGGAGAAGAGGAGAATGGAGGAGGAGAGGAGGGGGAGGAGGAGGAGGAGGAGGAGGAGGAGGAGGAGGAGGAGGAGGCGGAGAGGAGAGAGACGAGGGAGGATGGAAGAGGGAAGGGGGAGGAGGGAGGATGAGGGAGGAGGACGAGGGCTGAGCTGTGTGCGCGCCACCTGTGAGGGCACGAGCAACGCGGCGACGTTTCCGCTTAGCCACCCTCGGCTTCCACCACCACGTGTCCGCCAACCCTTCCGCCTCGCCTCCTCGTCTTCCTCCCCGTCTCCCTCATCTCCTCCTCCTCCTCCTCCTCCTCCTCCTCTCCTCCTCCTCCTCCTCCTCGCCTCCTCCTCCTCCGCCTCCTCCTCCTCCTTCTCCCTTCCCCTTACCCTCCCGATTCGTTAGCTCTTGTTCCCCCTTCTTCGGTCCCAAAGTCCCACCACCCGTCCAACCATGGAGAGGATGTCCATTGGGGCAAAGCGTGTGAGGCGATGTCCGACACTGGGCCGGATCACCACTATCCGGCACGAAATGACCCTCCCTCCCCCAGGCTGCGCGCGGTGGCGAGGAGCGGGCGGATGCGCCTCTGGCGCCGCCGACGACAGCGCGACGGCCGCGCGCGAGGTGCGCGGCCGCGGGCGTCCGCGGGTAGCGGACCTCACGACATCTGGGGCTGTTTGCTAGCAGACGGCCGCCAGGGCCTCTTTCATGATGACCCATCCACACTCCTCCTCCTCCTCCTCCTCCTCCTCCTCCTCCTCCTCCTCCTCCTCCTCCTCCTCCTCCTCCTCCTCCTCCTCCTCCCCCCATCCTTGTTCCGTAGCCACTGTGGCGTTAGACGGATTATTTCTACGTGCGGCCGAAGCGGGCCTCGGCATGTTCGGAAGCACAGCTTGATCTTCGCGTTGTTTCGTATATGACAAATCTGGTTGGTGTGATGGCTTTCGACGATGGTATCGATTTGCCTTGTGGTGAAGTATCTTGCTTCGCCACAAAGGCGCTGAGGCGCGTCACGTCGTTCTCTGGCAAGGACGGTTCGGGATTACACAGTGCTGTGCATGGGCGTCTTCGCGCCAGGCGCCCGATGGAATTCTTGATCACCTTGTCGCTTCGCCCATTTGCTTGCGTCGAGATGCACCTGTGTTCGTCTCGCGCCAGCTGGATTATCCGGGGTGCGTGCAACAGCACTTCACTTCGCCAGTGTCTGAAGCGGTGCTCTCAGTTCCTGCGGTGCCCAGTGCTTGCGGTGGCTCAGGCTCAGTCGGATCTTGGTGAGGGGGCCGAGCGGTCATTCATTGTCTTTGGGCGCGTGGCTGAAGTGAGGTTCTGCGGTGCGGATTGTTGCTGTTGTTGTTGCTGATGTTGTTGGTAGTGTTGTTGTTGGTGTTGGTGTTGTTGTTGCTGATGGGATTGGTGTTGTTGTAGTTGTCGTTATTGTTGATGCTGCTCATTCAGTATATGTTGTTGTGATTGTTGGTATTGTTGTTGGTGTTGTTGTTTGCTGTGTGTTGTTTGGTTTGGTGTTTGGTGTTTGCTGTTTGTTGTTGTTTGTTTTTGTGTCATCGCCCCCCCCAGCGACCCGGCCCGCGCCCCACCCGCCACACACCGGCGACCCAGCCCACGACCAACCCCACGACCCACAAACATGTTTATATGTTGTCCAAATGTGGCACCTCTTGCGGGCTTCGTCAGAGCTTCGCAAACTGCCGACGTCCCCGCCGCCCCCATCAGTCTTATCCGCAGCTGCCGGGTGCTACGAAATCGATTGGAATTGTATCACAAGCTAGTGGAGGCGCAGAACCCGTCAAGTCCGAAGCACTAGGGCGCTCTGGAGATGCAGGCGGGCGATGCTCTTTATGTATTGTCTTCTTCTTCTTATTCCCCATATCCTAAGATGGGGTTCTTGTTATTACTTGGACGCCTCCTACTCCCTCTCCTCCTTCCTGCTCCTCTTTCCTCCTCCCCTCCTGTCGGACTTACTCATACTCAGACTTGCTCATACTCAGACTTACTCATACACAGACTTACTCATACTCAGACTTACTCATACCCAGACTTACTCATACACAGTATTACTCATACTCAGACTTACTCATACCCAGACGTACACATACACAGATTTTCTCATACACAGACCTACTCATACCCAGACTTACTCATACACAGACTTACTCATACACAGACTTACTCATACCCAGGCATACTCATACTCAGACCTACTCATACTCAGACTTACTCAACACACATCAGATTTGGAGGATGTCTCCAGCGGAGCGCTGGTTTCAGCACCCCTAAGGGGGGCCGCCAGGGGTGTTTGCACGGGCTCGTTCGCGGCCAGTTTGTGGGGATGTCTCAGGCGGTTTGCTTGTTTCTGGGCCCAACATCCTTCGCTTGGAGAGCAGATGGTGAGGATGTCTCAGGCGGGGCGCTGGTTTCAGCACCCCTAAGGGGAGCCGCCAGGGGTGTTTGCACGGGCTCGTTCGCGGCCATTTTGTGGGGATGTCTCAGGCGGTTTGCTTGTTTCTGGGCCCAACATCCTTCGCTTGGAGAGCAGATTGTGAGGATGTCTCAGGCGGGGCGCTGGTTTCAGCACCCCTAAGGGGAGCCGCCAGGGGTGGTTGCACGGGCTCGTTCGCGGCCATTTTGTGGGGATGTCTCAGGCGGTTTGCTTGTTTCTGGGCCCAACATCCTTCGCTTGGAGAGCAGATTGTGAGGATGTCTCAGCGGGGCGCTGGTTTCAGCACCCCTAAGGGGAGCCGCCAGGGGTGGTTGCACGGGCTCGTTCGCGGCCATTTTGTGGGGATGTCTCAGGCGGTTTGCTTGTTTCTGGGCCCAACATCCTTCGCTTGGAGAGCAGATTGTGAGGATGTCTCAGGCGGGGCGCTGGTTTCAGCACCCCTAAGGGGAGCCGCCAGGGGTGGTTGCACGGGCTCGTTCGCGGCCATTTTGTGGGGATGTCTCAGGCGGTTTGCTTGTTTCTGGGCTCAACATCCTTCGCTTGGAGAGCAGATTGTGACGATGTCTCAAGCGGGGCGCTGGTTGCAGCACCCCTATGGGGAGCCGCCAGGGGTGGTTGCACGGGCACGTTCGCGGCCATATTGTGGGGATGTCTCAGGCGGTTCGCTTGTTTCTGGGCTCAACAGGGAGGGAAATGACAGGAACGAGGATGAGGAGGAGGAACAGGAGGAGGAGGAGGAGGCGGGGGATCGTGAGGAAGGGCATGGGGGTGCGGAGGGGGAGGGGGAGCAGGAGGATGAGGAGGAGGAGCAGGAGCAGGAGAAGGGAGGGGGCGGAGGAACAGGAGGAGGAGGAGGAGGAGGAGGGCGCTTTGCTCGAAGGTCCTTGACGCGAGCAGAACGTTTGTTCCGAAGTCCAGGACATATATATATATATATATATATGTATTCATAGGGGGTGACTGCGAGGGGGGGGCGGTGGTTGTGTGCGGGGATCGTTGGAAATGCTCACCGTGGCACTATCCTCCAACATGACATGCACTTATGGCCTTGTGTGGCTAAACGCTCGTCTTACATACCCCACTGCCAACTATCCTACAACATATGCGCATGCGGGGGCCTCCAAAGCTACCGCGGGCTGAAAAGGGGAAGGCCTGGCAGCTGAGGAGGGGGGATGAAGAGGAAGAGGCTCGCATTCAACCGTACTCAAAGCTCACTCTGACTCATACGCAATCACCCGCATTAGGGGTCACTCGTCTTCGTCGGCCCTGTCGCCCACGTGGACGCGCTATTGTAGTCGACCGCTCATGAACAGACGCTCACCACGGCATGACATAAAACATGAGATGCACATATGGGGAGCTCCACGCAGTGAGTAATTATTTTTCTCCGTTTCTCCATGTGCCGCATTTGCTTATGGTTTTCCTCGGTCTGGCAGTGAGGGCGAGGAATAGAGCCCCGAGATGTGTAGCCGCACTGGCGCGCTCGAGGCCAATATTCATGCCATTCGCTATTCTGCCATTGATGATGTCAAGGCGATGTGTAGCGATGCGGTTCAAACGGTCAATTGCCAAGTGGTTCCAAGTATTGTATCCTAGTGGGTGAATAAAAGTGTGGTTTCTTGCTTTGAGCTTTGTATTCGCAAGATGCACCAACTGGCCGATCAACTGCCTGTTTATATGTCGTTGGTGGGGGCTTTTGTCCAGGCATTGAAAGAGAGCCCGTGACAGGTGGTGGCCCACAGTCGTGCGTCGACTTCACCTGGTCGTTCCTCGTTCCCCTCGAGCCCAAGACCGCCTTCTGGCAATATTGCAGAACGTGCGTGCAAGTGCGGTCGAAGGCGCCACAGTCTCGACGGTGTCTGTCGGCATCAAAAGTGCCGCATCATCGAGGAGGAGACGAGGTGCAGGCTCTTTGTGCCAAGCCCGTTTGGACAATGTTCGGAAACGACGGGTTGGCTTTCGTAGTCCGCTTCTTCGGTTTGCGGGCTTTGGCGGAGTCGACGACTCGTGGTTTGACCGTATCGACCCTGATTCGGAGGAGGAGGAAAAGACAATTGCCATAATGTTCGCGACAGAATTTAGCGTCGAGGAGGGCGGCGGCGCATGATCTCCCAGCCTCGGCACTTTCACCACGATCTTCGGGGTCAGGGCCAGCATTTTTTTCGTTCACCTCCAAGACGCTTCCTCTCACATCCTGCACCTTGCGCTCGTCAAGTATATTATATGTGGTTCGCGCCTTCTCTCAATCGCCACCTGACGGCGGGCTGATTCCCTCCTGCGCGTTGCACTAGCGTTTCTCTGGGTACCTTCCGCCTCCCCCCATCCTTGCTTTCCGATGCTGTCTTGGCATAGCCTGGATCGAACTACCCCTGGCGAGGCGGGCGGTTGGGGCACGGTGGCTGCAGGACTCGCCCCGTGCGCGCGGCGGCGCAGCCGCCAGGGGGCAGTGGCGGTCGCGCGTGGCGGAGTCGGCCGACAACCTCGTGAAGAGGTGGGTGGGCGAGCTGGCGGCCTCGGAGAAGAAGGCCGACCTCTTGCAACACCATGTCGAGGCGATGTTCGGTGAGCCCGGTGTTGGGCTCGCGATTGGTCGCTTGCGCCCCCGCGCAGGCTGCTTGGTTGTCGGGGCGGATGCCGATCGACTTCGACAGGCCACAGGACTGACGCTCTGCACGCGCGCGCGGTGGGCCTGGACGTCGGGGCTGCTGGTCCTGACGCGATCAGATCAGCGCGGCGCAGGGCCCGTCTGGGGGAAGACGCGGCGCATCAGCGCGAGGTGAACGGCGATGCGGATGAGCAGATTAAGCGGGATTCCGCCGCCGAGCCGGGCGCTCTGCAAGCCGCTGCGGGCCCATTTGGGGAGCCAGTGGGCGACGCCGTGGAGCCGCAGGAATTCGCGTGGAACGTGGAGGCCTCCGAATGTGCGTGCACCGAGGTGCACAGACACATGTTCGATAGCCTGCTGTGCACCTGCGGCACGTTGGTCTTTTCCAGCTGCGATTGGGGGCCGCTGGAGGCCGCTGTGGACTGCTGGGCGCGACCTGTGGAACTTCCGCTCGCGGGCGACACGGCCGACGGGGCTAGGACTTGAGTTCACCTTTTCCCGGATCTGGTCGGAGTAGTTGCCATCAAGGATGTGCCAGAGTCGGGGTTTATGGCTCGCGCGCCCTATAAGAAGCCTGAGGAGTGGACCTGCATGCTCTGGATAAATTGGTAAACTGTTTACGAGTCGGCCGCCTCCGAGACTCGATGTGTTGGGACCCCGGCGTCATGTGTCTGGCGCGGTTTGCCATCCTGCCATCTGTTTCTGCCTGCAGCGCTTTGATCAGATGCTGGAGGTCGTGGAGCGTAGGCCTCGGGGCTCGGGCTCGGTGCAGTGCAAGGCATCAAGGAAGGTAAGGACCCTGCTGCCCAAGGCAGGAGGGCTGTAAGGGAGGGAAGCCACCGCCTGCTGCAGAAGACAGAATGGAAGACACCTACTACCACCACAGCCGGGTCATCTCGACCGCCCGCTCCGATTTTCAACCGCTACCCCGCAATGCGATCATTAAGCTTAAAGGCCTCACAGGTGTTTCGTGGGCCCGCCCTTTTCGCTCCAGGTCGCCGTGGAGTTCGTGGTCCAGGAGGCGGTCGGGGGGTCCTGGCTTGGGCAGCCTCCTGTTTGGCGGGCGGTGCAGTGGACCCGCCCCCCCGCGGTGTGAAGGACTCTAACCAGGCGCTCTTTCTCCTCGGATGAATGCTCTTCCTGCTGCTTCCAGGAACACACCATTATTTCCTTGACCTCTCCATCTTATTCCCCCTCGTTCCCATCCCCTTCGCTTTCTCAGCCGTCCTCTTTCTGATCATCCTTCCCTTCCTCTTCTCCCCCCCTTCCCCCTCTCCCCCCTTCTCCTCCCATCTCCTCCTTCCCCTCCTCCTTCCCCTCCTCTCCCCTCGGCAGGAGTCGCGCAGCAGCTCTTGCCTCGACGCCGACAAGCTGTTCGCCGCGATCGGGGAAGCGCAGAGCGACGCGGCCTTCTCTCGCCCCGGGAGGAGGAGGACGAGGCGGCGTAGGGACGAAGGTGGAGGCATTGACAGGACGAACGGGGTGGGCGGAGGACAAATGCAAGATGAGGAGAAGGGGAGCGAGGGGGAGGAGGAGGAGGAGGAGGAGGAGGAGGAGGAGGAGGAGGAGGAAGGAAGGAAGGAAGGAAGGAAGGAAGGAAGGATGAGGAGAACGAAGAAAGAGGAGGAGGAGGACGACAAAGCAAGAGCAAGAGAGGGATGAGAAGGAAGAGGAGGCGGAGTATGACGGAGGACGGAGGAGGACAGGGAGGGAATCACAGGATCAATTGAAAGGACAGAGGAGAAAGTGTTGGTCCACACATGCTAGGGAATGAGGGTAGAGGCTTGCGGAGGTTACCGCGGGAGGAAGTGGAAGATGAGGAGGAGGAAGAGGGTTTTTGGAGGATTCCAGAGGGGAAGGTGAAGATGATGAGGAGGAGGAGGAGGAGGAGGAGGAGAAGGTTCCTCCAGGTGTCCAGAGTAGGGGGGGAAAGAAGGACGGGGAAGCATGAATGCAAAGGAGGGATAAAGGCGGAGGTCTGTCCGACGCTGAGATTCACATGCAGTCCGTCTCCCGGCAAGGGCGCGGGCCCAGGATCTTCACATAGTCGATGAGCGTACCATTGGTGCCTCGAGTGAGGTGGGCCGCCAGATTTCCGCTCGATTGAAGACCTGGTACAGTCACGTAAACATGCGTCTCGCGCGTGCCCGCTCGAAGAAAGCACACCCTCCATTTGGATCTTGATCAATACCAGTGTCCGCAGACACCCATTGTCCCTTGGAAAGAAAAGGGAGTGGAGCGGTTTGTGCAGAATCCTTGTGATGGATGCGTTGGAATTCGCAGTAAATGTGACAAAACTGATGTTGCGCGTGACCGCGAGAGGCTAGCGCGTCCTGTTCACAAATTGATCGAGGAATTCTCTGGCCTGTTTTGGAGAAGCGCCTCAGGTCGCCCAGGAGGATGTCTAACCTGAGGATGTGTTGAGGATGTCTCGGGCGACGCTGTAGTTTTCAGGTGTCCAGGTCGCCCAGGCGGATGTCTAACATGAGGATTTCTTGAGGACGCTTCCAGCGAAAGGCTGGTTGTTGCATCGACTCATTTGGCCCGTGGACTGAAACCATGTTATATTTATATATATATATACCGTTCGCCCGTGAGCTCAAATCATGCGTATTTACATAGTTCAATTGGTCATTACATTAGCTCCCTCCGCACTTGAGCAAACATCTGAACATGTCTCGAGTGGGGGCTTCATTCATGAGTGGTTTGCAGGAGCGTCTCGAACGGGGGGCCCGCCCCGTGGAGCTCTAGGAGAAGGAGGAGGAGGAGGAGGAGGAGCTGAAACCATGTGTCTTTACATGAGTTCCTTCCGCCCGAGAGCGCAAGCCATATACTTTCACATGGGTTCCTTTCGCCCGTGAGCCCAAGCCACGTGTTTTCCACATGGCCCCATTGCGACCAGGAGCTCTAACCAGATGTGTTTTTAACACGGGTGTCTCCCTGCTTTCCCCCTGCTCCACCCCCTCATCCTCCCGCGTAGCTGCGTACGGTAGGTCCGTGTCGCGTCGACCGGCGGCGACCCAGTTGCCAGCGTTCAACGTTGCACGCCGCCGGCGATTCAGAATCTGTCGATGTTGAAACATTTGGCGTTTCGGAAACGGCCGATCGGTCCAGGTTGAGCGATACCCGCGGTGTCAGGAACCGCAGACGAAGTCTGCACGACACGACCCTGTCGTAGCTGCGTGGCCTTCTCCCCGGCGGCGGCAGCGAGGCCGCACAGGACGGCGAGGGTGCGCACTCCGACTCGGACGGCGGCAGCTCCCTCCCGTCGGAGCCGCCGGACATGGAGTGCAGCCGCAGCTGGGCTCTGGGGGGTGCCCTCAAGGCGGGCCGCCGCCCTCGGCTGCGAGCCAGGAGAGCGTACACGCAGGAGCGGAAGAAGGACACACACGTGCAGGAATCCAAGTTGGTTTCGAAAGCACACAGTGCGCGAACGCTCGTATCACGAAGCTGGTCTCGCAGACCAGGGGCCGTATCTATATATATATATATATATATATATATATATATATATATATATACGTGGTTGAGCGCGTGTGTCCTCCATGGGCTGCCTACATGCACCGATGGTAGACCTCTCTTGCCGCCCTACGTGCACGTGCGTCCCCTTCCTGCCGAGACCAGGCGAGCGTACACCCCGCTCCTGGGGCCAACACGAGCCTGGCCAGGACCTGTGCGGTGTACAGCTGGCGCCCTCCTGTAGCGGTGTAGCGGGGGGCGGGGGGAGCGCCGCCACCGGCCAGGGCCTTGAGGCTTGCGCCGCCGGGGTCGGGCGGCGGGCCGGGCCCCCCTCCCCCCAGGGATTCGCCCGCCTGCCACCTGGAGGGGCTGGAGGGGGAGAAGGGGGCGAGGAGGGAAGAGTGGAGGGGCAGAGGACGGGAGGGGTGGGGGTCAGAATTGGAGCGAAGCGGGGGGGGGGGGAGAAGAGGGAGACGCGGAAGGGGTGGTGGACAGCGGAGGTGGGGGCGAGATGGTCGGCGGAAGCGGCGAGGCTCTGGAGGAGGGGTGTCGCGCCATGTGGTGTCCAGCTGGCGTTATCGCTTCTTCCGCACATCCTTTGGTTCTCTCCGCCGTTCTTGCTTCTCTGGGTTCCTCCTCCTCCTCCTCGTCCTCCTCCTCGTCCTGATTACCTTCCACCTCCCCTTGCCCCTGCTACCCCTCCTCCTCCTCCTCCTCCTCCTCCTCCTCCCCTTCCTGTTCGTGTTCCTCCACATGCTCCTCCTCCACCTTCTCCTCCTCCTCCTTTCTGCTCGTGCCTATGTTTTGCCGCCGCCAACCCCGCCTCCGCCATGCGAGCGCTGTCGCGCGCTCGAAAGGGCTGGAAGAGCAGCCCCTCCCATTTCTGCTTCCTGCCCACCCAGGCATCCCGCAGGGGGAGCCTGGCTTCCAGGCTGGCGCCCGCGGCGGCTGCGACGACGGCGGCGACAACGACGGTGACCGCGAACACGGCTGCGACGACGACGGCGACGACGAGGGCAACGGCGACGACGCGGGCGATGGCGACGACGATGGAGACAAGGGCGACGGGTTTTCCATGCCGAGTAGTTTTCGTTGACGGTCCTGGTGGGCCCTCCTGGCGCATTTTGGGCCACTGCCCCATGCGTGTTGCCCATGCACCGAGAATGAGGAGCAGGTGCAAGAGGAGGAGGAAGAGGAGGAGGAGGAGGAGGAGGAGGAGGAGGAGGAGGAGGAGGAGGAGGACGAGGAGGGGCAGGGAGGAAAGGGGCGAAAGAGGAGGGCGAGAGCAAGGACCAGCGGAGGAAGTGGGTGGATGAGCTCCAGAGGCGGAGGATGGAGGATGTGAAGGGGGTGGCCGTTAGTGGGGCACCCGCGGCGGCAAGTAGGAGCACGCAGGGGTCATGCTCCTGCTCCTGAGTATCCGCCTCCCCATCCTCCTCATCATCCTCCTTCTCTTTCCTCTCTTCTCATGCTCCGGCTCCTCCTCATTACACTCCTCTCCTCCGTCTCCGCCTCCGATTGCGGCAGTGGCGACGGCGACGACGACGGTGGTGATGGCGGCGAGGACACCAGCGGCGACGACGAAAGCGGTAGCGGCGACGACGGCGTCGGCGACGACGACGACGACGATGACGACGATGACGATTACAGGGACGACGACCGCGGCGACGACGACGGCGACGACGACGACTACGGCGACGACGACGACGACGACGACGACGACGACGACGACGTTGGCTGCGGCGACAGCGACGACGACGCCGACGTCGACGCCGACGCCGACGCCGACGCCGACGCCGACGACGACGGCGTCGGCGACGACGACGACGGCGGCGGCGGCGGCGGTGGCCGTGGCCGCGACGGCTGCACGCCCCCAGCCGCTGCCCGTCCTTGGGGAGCCCCTCTAGCCGCCGCGCCTCCACGGTGGGCAACCTGAAGATCGCGGGCTCCGCGGAGGGCGCAAGTTGACACCAGCACCAGCCCTGGCCAGGCCATTCCTGCCGAGCAATGCCAGGCCTATGATGTTCCAACCTACTTCAGCCTGGATCGCCAGCAAGAATTTCGAGCATCAAGACATGACCGAAACTGGAGGTTTTTCACGTGTCGGGACCCGGGAGGCGATACTCTTTCGACACCTCGCCAGTGCGTCGGGCGGGCACTGTTTCGGGGTGTTGCTGGGTACTCGAACATATTTTTGTGATGTGGTCCTCAAGTACAGTGGGGACAAGATAATGCCAGGGCAAGACATGCTCGCGCCGTGACGAGATAACGCCAACCTCCTTTTCGGCCGTCCTTGGCTTCTGGTGGCCCTCGCCAGGCTGCAGGACCGTCGGCAAAACAATCCGTGATGAAAAAGCAGCCCTGGGGAAAGGATCGGGTTTCTGGGGACTCCGTTGTCGTCGTCGGCATTGTCGTCGTCGTCCTCGTCCTCGTCGGCGTCGTCTTCGTCGGCGGCGGCGTCGGCGTCGGCGTCGGCGCTGGCGTCATCGTCGGCGTCGTCGGTGTCGGCGTCGGCGACGGCGACGACGACGACGACGACGAAAAAAACAAGACATCGGATATGTCTGGGGAGGTGGTCCTAGCCCAGGGTGTGCCCAGCTTGTCGCGCCACGCTGGAGCCTCTGGGGCCCTCTGGGGCTCGTAAGGGGTGATCCAGGGGGCCCTCCGGGCCTCCGGGGAACTCCTGGGGACGCCCTGGGCCAGGGGCACTTCTGGCAACACCCGATCCTGGGCCCAGGGTTTGCTCGTGTGTGATGGCCTTGTTTTCCACCCCCACCACCGTAAGTTGGAGGGGGAGGCGGTCCTCCTCCTCCTCGTCTTCTTCCTCCTCATCCTCCTCCACCTCCTTCCCCCTCCAACTCATGGTGGTGGCGGTGGAAGACAGGCCCAGCAGTGCATGCCTTGCTGTCCAGGGCCAGGAGGGCGTGCACGCCCGCTCGGCCTGGCCAGGATCGGCGCAGGTGCCCAGCTGGCGTCCTCGCAGGCTCGGCGGCCAGCCTGAAGCATCCCACGGGCTGCCGTGCCTCGGCGCCGCCCCCCACGACGCTGCGCTTCGAAGGCCCGCGGGGGGGAAAGCACACGCACCAACTCGCCGATACCGGCCGCCGCCCTTCCGTCGCTCTCACTCGTTTGGGCCTTCCCCAGAGGGGCGGGGGGCAGGGGGGGCTTGAGATCCGACGTCGCGAGAACGTAAGAAGGTCGGCCCGAAGCCCTGTATACCAACCTTTTCGCTGCACTTCTCGAGCCGGGTCGATCCGTGGTCCCAAAGCTCGACTCAACGCAGAATCGCCCGTTTTGAGAAAGGATGCGACGCCAGGATGTCGGCCGGGGGGGGGCCTCGCATCGCCCCTCGAGCTTTCATCCTGGAACTTCGGTCCTCAGAAGGCACTGGCGGCACCCCCAGTGGTGAGCCCCCATTGGCCCTGCCAGGAATGCCGAACCGGCTCCGCCAGGGACTTCTGGCCGCTCCATTCTGGTCATGACATGATTCCATGCAGGACCCCAGGGAAAAGGAGTTTTGAGGCGGCCGATGTCGATATCTCAAGTCCGTCGGCTTCGCGCGCCATGGAGGCAACGCGGAGGGGGAGGAAGAGCAAGATTCAGCAGAGGGAAACGAGGATGAAGAGGAGGGGGAGGCGAGAAGGAAGCGGTGGAGGATTATGAGGAGGAGGAGGTGGAGGTCTTGAATGCAACGCCGCGGTCTCAGAAGTCCCCTTCGCTGGCGCCCGTTCAGGGAACGCACCACCTGGGACCCCGGGAGAGTCCCGAGGAGCGGCGGCGTCAGCGTGTGTTCTCCCGAGGCTTCCTCCTGCTGGTGGGGGGCTACGCCCATGCGGACTGAGCGGCTGGCGCGGGCCGCTGTCGAGGAGCAGGAGAGAGGAGAGGGTAGGCAAGGAGGAGAGGGGCAGCAAGAGGAGGATGAGCATGGGCCAAGCATGGGGAGAAGGTCAGGGGCAGGAGGGAGGGGCAGGAGGGAGGGACAGGGGAGGAGGCAAGCTATGTGTCCTCACACCATATCCGACGTCCTACCCGTGCCACCCATCCCTTCTCATTGCGCTGTTGTGTTCTCCATCCTCCGACGCGTGTCACAACGGACTGGAGCTCCGAAAAGGACGCAGTCGTATTTTGCGCAATCAGAAGAGGGGAGTTGCGCACACTAGGGGAGGAGGAGGAGGAGGAGCAGCAGGAGGACGAGGAAGAGGAGGAGAAGAAGGAGGAGAAGGAAGAGGAGGAGGAGGAAAGGAGGAGGCTTGGGGATGGCGGATAAGTTGGAGGGCGACCAGGAGTACGAGGGCGAGGGGAAGAAGGAGGTGGAGGACGACGGAGGAGGCTGAGGAGGAACAACAGCAGCAGCAGCAGGAGTAGGAGTGGGAGGACTGGGAGGAGCAGTTGGTCCGGTGGAAGTATGAGCAAAGGCAATGAGAAATGAGCCGGAAGACTACGACAAGGGAGGACTCGTGCCCAGAAAAGCGCCCGCGTTGGGCTGAGAGCGCCATTCTGAACGACGGGAGCAAAGCGCCGATCCTAAAATGAGGCGCACGCAGCAGCGGGAACACCACTGCGAAACACCATCATCGTTCCGATTCAAACAACATGTGCAATACCACTAGCTCGGAGTCTTGTGTGTAGGCAATGATACATGGAGAGTGTGGGGCACTTCCAGGACGTAGTCGGGTAAGTGAGGAGAGTAATGTTCAGATGCAAGCTAGGTGCCCTCACGCCAGATCTGACGTCCTACCCATCCCACCCATCTCTTCCATTTGCGTTGTTGTTGCGGTTGCTGTTGCTGTTGCTGCTGCTTTTGTTGTTTCTCTTTCCGTTGACGGGTGTCATAGCGGACCTGGACGCCTCCCAGAGGACCCATGCATGTCATGAGTATCTAGATATGAGGAGCTGTGTACAGAGCTGGAGGAGCAGGAGGAGGAGGAGGTGGCGGATAAACTGGAGGATGAGCTGGAGGAGGAGGAGAAGGAGAAGGAGGAGGAGGAAGGACGAGGACGAGGACGAGGACGAGAAACAGCAGCTGCAGGAGTAGGAATGGGAGAAGGGGGAGGAGCAGGAGGGCCAGAGGAGGTCGTAGGAGGGAAAAGGATCGGGGAGACAAAGATGAGGAAGAACTCGGATCCAGGCAAGTGGCCCTGGCTTGGCCGAGAGCGCCATTCTGAACGACGGGAACAAAGCGTCGATCCTATGAGGCGCACGCTGCAGCGGGAACACCATGTTGGAACACCGAAGACGCTCCACCATGTGCAAGATCACTTGCTCGGTGTCCTGTGCGTAAGCCACAGTACTCGGAGAGGGCGGGGCACTTCCAGGACGTAGTCGGGCGATAGAGGGGAATGATCTCTCATATGCCCGAAACCCCGCCCCGGGGGGGGCCCGGGCCGAAGACCACCAAGGGCCACTCCTCATCCTTACGCTGCCCACCCCTCAACACCCTTATCTCTTTCACGTCGCGTCTCCACACCCTTTTCTCTCTCACGTCACGTCTTCTCCCGTTCATGCGCCTTCCTCCTTGATGTCCACCTTGTCTCCGCCTTTTTCACTCCTCCAGCCCTAGTCCATACTCCTCGGGTGTAGCTTCCTCCGTTCTTTGTGCGTCCTCCTTCTCGTGCGTCCTGCCCTCTACCACGCACCTTCGTCTTCTTGTTCCCTCCCTCCTCCTCCCCGCCTTGGTGACCTCCCCTTCATCCCTCCTTCCTCTGCCCTGCTCTTCGCGTCCCTCTCCCTCTCCTCCTCCTCCTCCTCCTCCTCCTCCTCCTCCTCCTCCTCCGCCTCCTCCTCCTCCTCCTCCTCCTCCTCCTCCTCCTCCTCCTCCTCCTACTCCTCCTCCTCCTCCTCTCCCTCCATCTCTCTGTTACGTCCGCCTCCTCCCTCCACCGTTCCTCTTCCCCAGTCCCTCCTTCTGAGTTAGATTCCGTCTTTCCCCGCCTTCCTCCATTCTATTCGTCGCGCCACCTCCCTCCTAGATCTTGCTTCTTGGTACCACCAGTAACCGTTCATATACCAAAGGCCTGACGGCCCCAGGAGCAGTGCAGAAGTTTCAAGAGGGCCCCACATGACGGTCCCAGGAGGCACCCAGGCTGCCCCAGGTAGTCTCCAGCAGCACAGTGAGGTCCCAAGAGGCCGTCAGAGTGCCCGTGCAGGACTTCCAAGAGGGCCCACTCAGTCAAAACCAGAAGGTATCCCAACGTGTGTTCATTTCATGTCTGGAGTTCCCAGTTGTTGCCAACGCGTGGCTCCAAGATGGCCTCGGAGGCTCAAATGGTCCTAAAGAGAGTTCCAAGATTGCCCGAGGCTATCCAAGGACTGTCGCGAAAACAAAAACCCAAGGCGACGTCAGACACTAAGGCGATCATTTCCAAGACAAGGGCCGGATAATCTTGGCATTCCCCCTCTGACGCGGTATACTTTTGGCCCCATGGGAAGTATAATATGATCGCGCGCGAATCGCGCGCGATGGTTCTAGTGTCTGTATTTCGCAAGCTATGTGTCCTCACGCCCATCCCTTCCCATTGCGCTGGGTTTTTTCTCTACCCGCCGACGGGTGTCATGGCAGACCCGGGCTCCCGGACAGGACACCATCGCGTCATGCGTATTCAGGTAAGGGGAGTTGTGTGCAGAGGACACGGAGGAGGAGGAGAAGGAGGAGGAGGAGGAGGAGATGGCAGATGAGCTGGAGGATGAGCAGGAGGACGAGGATAATAAGCAATGAAGGGGACGAGGAACAGTTGCAGGAGCAGGAGTGGGAGAAGCGGGAGGAGCAGGAGAACCAGGGGAGGTTGGAGGAATGACTAGGAGCGGGGAGACAACGATGAGGGAGGACTCGGATCCAGGCAAGTGGCCCTGGCTGGGCCGAGAGCGCAATTCAAGACAACGAGAGCAAAGCACCGATCCTCAAATTAGG